GGTTATGTATTGTTTTAAAATAGTTGAATGAAATGTTATTTTTGGAAAAGCTATAACCTGCGGGTTTGCTTGGATAAGCTTGCGAGCTTTGTCCGTCTTCTTTCTCATCCCCTCCGGAAATCTTGCGAGCTCTTTCCAACCTTTCGTCTTGGCTTCCAATCTCTTTCGTCTCTCCGCAAGTGCCACTCCACCTGTATCTTTCTTCCAAGTGCAGCAACTTTAGGGTGTCTTTGGTTTATGAGTCAAAGTTTGTAAGTCGTCGTAATTTTGTGTTTTGTAATTTCTTCTTTTTAGTTTTATTGTAAGAGTTTGTTCTTCCTTTTGTTGTTCTTCCTCATCTTTAGTCCATTCTTCTATTTTAGTGTGTTAGCGGGTGTTTCTTCCAAGTGCAGCAACAATTAAACTGATCTGTCTCTTGCTCTCTCTCTCTCTCTCTCTCTCTCTCTCTCTCTCTCTCTCTCTCTCTCCCTCTCTCTCCCTCTCTCTCTCTAATGCGGGCGAGGGGTATAGGCTCCCTATATTTCTTGCCCCCACCAGAATGTTTCTTAAATTATGTTTAATTTGTTTAGGAAGGTTTCCTAAATCATGTTTAATGATTTAGGAAGGTTTCTTAAATTATGTTTAATTTTTTAGGAAGGTTTCCTAAATTATATTTAAATTATTTAAGAAGATTCTATTTATGTTATTGTGTTCTAGGACTATTTAAGTGGGAGTTATCTAGGGTTTTAGGGAGTTGTCTAGGGTTTTTGGATCATGCTATTGATGAGTTTTGTGAGTGTTTGATGTAGTTCTTTTCTTTGAGGGCTTTCTAGTGCATTTAGGTTGATTGGGAGAGCCGATCTACCTCTCGAATTGTAGATCACTTGTATCATGTTTTCTCTTATTGAAGTTTTAATAAAAAATCAGCCGCTGTTTTGGTTTTACTAATTTATGTTATTGTTGTTTTTGCTTATAAGGCGTATCAGATTTATTGGGAGAGAGGGAGAAAGTTTCTTTTTCTTAGAGAGTGAAAGAAAGAAAAGGGAGGAGCAATAAGGTGAGTGGGAGAATATGGAGAGGATGTTAAGGGGTGTGAGAACGAATTCTCTCTCTCAGTTGTTGGAGACAGAAAGAAAGAAAGTAGAGAGATGTAGGGAGGAAGGAGATGTTGGGAAAGAAGATGTTGGCGGTGGCATTGGTGGTGACGATTGGCTGGGTTGAGGCATATTTTACTAGTCATAGGTAGGGTCGCACAAGCTAAGGCGTGCAGTCAGCATCGGCGACAAGCTGGGCTAGGAGGGGTTAATGAGATTATTCTTGTTGTACTGATCTGTTAGACCGGTCCGGCCGGTCCATGTGGGACTGGCCCAGCGCTACCGAGGCGGATGATCTCTGCCCTTTCCGTGGGCGTTCGGTCCGCATGAGCCAAACGAGCATTTTAGGAAGGATTTTTTAGGGTTTTGGGAGGGAAATTTGAATGTAGGGGCTGTTTGGGGATTTCCTTTTGATTTGTATGCATTAAATACTTTGTTTTCGTAGGGTTAGGGCATCTTGAATTTGGCTGAAATTTGACATCTCCTAGATTTAGGTTTTCTTTAGGCTCTAGCGGTGTCTAGAGATTTGGGAGAGATCAATCCTCCTCTCGAATAGAGGATCAAGTGTATATTGTTATTTTCATTTCCCTTTCATAAAAAAATACAAATTATCTACTATTTTTTGTGGTTTTGTGTGGATTTTGGTAGAGAAAACTCGTTGTTTTTTTGAAGATTGATAGGAAATACTTGAGAGCTACATATACTTCCTATTAAATTGGCATCAAAGCACGTTGATCGAAGGGGAACCAATGGCCGGAAGGTAAGTGGAAGTTTTGGAGGAAAAATTTGGGCAACTCAAAGCAGATTTTGAGGAAAAGATAGCTGATTTTCAATGTTAGATTGCATCCATCAATGAAAAGATGGAGAAAAAGTTTGCCGTGATGGAAGACATGTTGAAGAATTTTCTTGAAGTCAAAACCAAACTGGTGACATCGGAAGCAAATGAAACTACCGGTGGTCATGGAAGAGATGGGAACCCTAACACGTTTAGGGGAAGGGAAAAGACAAAAGTGGAGATATTGGAGGGAGAAGACGGAATGCCTCCTCTAGAACAACTTTTTAGGGAGGAGATGAGCATTGGCTACGCAAGAAGGGGTGCTGAATTTGTAAGCAGAGGGGATGATTTCGATCGCCAGGGTGCTGATTTTGAAAGAAGAAGAGGGGATTTTGATGAATGGTTTGGGTATGATCACTGGAGGGAAGATCGAGACATTTAGGGAGCACCTCCGCTTCGAGGAATGGGAGTTTATGGAGGATTTAGGCGTAACGGGTGTGACTCGAGGGTGAGGTAACTGAAGATGCCAATTTTTGAGGCGAAGGATGCGCACGAGTGGATCTACAAGGTAGAAAGATATTTCGCCATCAATGGGCTGACAGAGGATGAGAGATTGACGGCGGCGGACCTATGTTTAGAGGGGAAGGCTTTTTTTTGTATCAGTGGAGGGACATGCGACAATCCATATGGAGTTTGAGAGAGTTCAATGATTGTTTAGTAGAAAATTTTCGATCTGGTAGGGGAGGAGACTTCTAGGAGCAATTCTTCTCCTTGACACAGGAGGGTTTAGTGACGGAGTATCGGGATTGATTCGAGTACCTTGCTAGCCAATTAGACCGCTTTTTCTGAGATAGTGCTAGAGGGAAACTTCATGAAGGGATTGACACCATAGATCCGAGCAGCGATTAGAGTAATGAGGCCTCGTGACTTGGGAGAGGCTATGGAGATAGCTCAATTGGTAGAATATTAGAGGCACCTGGAGAGAGAGACGGGAGGCGGCAGCTCATGAGACTTGTACAGGATGCCCACCACCCTTTTGAAATCCAAGGAGCCAACACCGAATACTCTTTGGGGGACTTTGAAGGAAAAGACTGCAGTAGGAAGACATGAGGACAACTTCAAGAAGCTCACAAAGACAAAATTACAGGAGAAGAGGGCGAAGGGGCTCTGTTTTAGATGTGATGAGAGGTATACACCGGGGCATAGGTGTAAGAACCAAACTCTTCAGGTTCTTACCGTTTGTGAAGAAGAAAGAATTGAGGGTTTCGTCTTTCCACTTTGCGGACAAGGTGGATCTTTGGGAGGGGAGTAATGTTATACCGTCCAGCCGGTCCACGCGGGACCGGCCCAGCGCTATCGAGGCGGACGATCTTTGCCTCTTTCTGTGGGCGTTCGGTCCGCTTGAGCCAAACGAGCATTTTAGGAAGGATTTTTGAGGGTTTTAGGAGGGAAATTTGATTGTAGGGACTGTTTAGAGATTTCTTTTTGATTTGTATGCATTAAATACTTTGTTTTCCTAGGGTTAGGGCATCTTGAATTTGGCTGAAATTTGATATCTCCTATATTTAGGTTTTCTTTGGGCTCTAGCGGCGTCTAGATATTTGGGAGAGATCGATCGTCCTCTCGAATAGATGATCAAGTGTATCTTGCTATTTTCTGTTTCCCTTTCATTAAAAAATACAAATTATCTATTATTTTTGTGGTTTTGTGTGGATTTTGGTAGAGAAAGCTCTTTGTTTTTTCAAAGATTGATAGGAAATACTTGAGATCTACAAGTACTTCCTATCATGATCACATCTCTTGGCATAATTGACCACCAACCACGCGATTGTTATTTTCTTCTATTTCTAAATTAGAGGTCTAAGTTTGAGCCTTTGCCAAAAAATATCTTTTGGCTTAGTTTGCTAGAAAAAACAACCTTAGCATGGGGAGACTGCAGATAAAGTAGGCAACAACATGCTGCATGGGATCTTTTTCCCGCCAAGCGGATCACTTAATTCATAAATAAAGCCACTATTAAGGGATAGTCACATTCTTGACTAGTAGTATTTTCTTTTGGGGAGTTTTTAAAATGGCTTGTTACATCTCAGATGTAACTTGTTTTTCTTACGTTGTATTGTTTCAAAATCTTTTAGCACAGAGGAGTGTGCATTGTTGATACCACCACTACGTACTCAAATAAGAGAAAAGTCTTCTACTTTGGAAGTACTACTACTTTTTGAAATAGCAGCACCAAGTGCTTAGTTGGCAAAGAATCAGAAGCAAAAGAAATACTTAAGATTATCCATTTGTATTTTTCATGTTTGTTTCAGATTAAGATTTCAATTGATTAGCTAATAGGTAAGGCTTTTAGAGTATCATGATTTTTAGAGTAACATGATTTAAGTGCTAGGTCTAGCCTAGTATACTTGAAAGAAAGGTTGGAGGAACTCGTCCCAGTTCTGTTTCCCACTGTGTCCATCTCTTTCAATAATTTCTTTGTGAGAGAATATAAAAGCACAAGTTAAACTATATTTTCATGTATTGAGATGCAATGAGAATAAATAATAATTCCAAATTGAAAATAGGACAAAGTATTGATTTCTTAATATGCTAGTAGTGGCCCTTACTCATTTTTTGAGCTTTGAGTGCATGAGTGCCATCTACTAGTATATTGCTTTTACCAGAGCATGTGCCTCAACTGAGATCAAGCGTTCCATGCTATTGTGGTTCTTATGATCTTAGATGCTTCTAAGATGGTTAGTCAAGGTTCAAGGGCAGTTAACTCCTAATTCACACTCTATGTGGTTCAGAGTATTGTAGGTGCATGACATTTAATGGGTTGAAAAGTTTCTATTATTGAATTTGTAAAGTACTACTGTGCCCTTTATTGATTAATTAATTTTTTGCGTTGATGGATGCCCATCCAGTAGCATACTAAGGCCAATTTGAGCCCTTTATGATCCACCGTCACTAGTGAAATGTAGTAGTACACACTAAATCATTAATTGCGACTTACAGCTTAATCTATACCACATAATCAAGCATGGCGTGCTTTGATTTGTCAAGCTAATAAGAAGCCTAGAGTAAACTTCTAGAAATCTAGATTAGAGTTGAAAAAAAAAAAAGCATTCTATTTCAAATTGTTTTTTTTTTTTTTTTTTTGTAATCAGGAAGATATTGCAGAAATATTCAGGATAGCAGATAAAGATAATTCTGGAACTTTGACAGTAAAAGAAATTCAGGATGTTTTAGAAGATTTTTGCATGAGGTATCCTCAATTAGAACTATATTTGAAGAGCAAGCGAATGAGCAGCATTCTAGAACTTCTGAAGGACTCTAAAGGCGATGCTACGAAAGAGGCCATAGAAGTGGACATAGAAGAGTTCAGGAAAGCTCTTACTGACGTGGATTCACAAGTAAAGACTCTTCCAGCTACAGCTCAGGTAGTTCTCTGAATTTGTGGAAATTGGCCAATTGATTTTTACTGAATTTCTTACTGTTTCTAACTTGTTCAGTGCGTTTTTCAGGTTGCTGCCCAGCAAGGGAGTTATCTTGCCAGATGTTTTAACAAAATGAAGGACACTGAAGAACATCCTGAAGGTCCTTTGCGTTTCAGAGGGAGTGGCCGTCACCAATTCCGCCCTTTTCGGTATTTTTTATGTTTGTTACTATATTTCTACCCCTTATTGTCATGTCTTAACTTTGTTGCTTAGTTTCTTTGTACTATAAACAAGATTATCTGCCAAATTTTGTAAATGAATCATATAAGCATAAGATATCAATCTCCTTTTGTTTGTGAAAATTGACTTTTATTGCTTTTTATATTCTCTATTTGTATGCATCACATTTTTAGAAGTTCTGTTACCAAATATCAAAACATTGAAGGCTGGTGTAAACATGCCAGTGAGGAGCCAAGTTAATCCATGGATTACCTTCTTTAGTTCGGAGTTCTTCTGATGTTTCTTCTCGATAAGAATTATTTGTTTTGCTATGGCTAGTTACAAATGAGGTAGCACCTGTCAAGGTGACATGATGACATAGGTATTTCCAAAGTTCCATTATTGTTAGTTTGTCGGATCTTCTTTGGCTTTTTCCATCTGACCTCCAATTTATCTGCAATTTTCCATACCCTAAATAATCTTTACTTGTTTCTTTTTTTCTTTTAGATCTATTCTAGAAACAATTGTCGTATTAAGGCACTTATTAAAAGATACAGAGAGCATAGGTTGAATTTTCATGTGAGTATTATTTATCTTGAGATGGTATGTGATGAGTCCTCATTAGGTAGGCATTACGAAAAAATGATGTATGTCAAAGTTATATTGAAGCTATTGAATATATATTATGGAGCATTGAGAGTTGTAGAGTGAGTAGTATTCATTCAAAACTCTTTTGTCTTATGTTGCCAATAGACGATATCTTAATTCCATTTGATTCACCTTTGCCAAGTTTTCCATCTTACAAACTTTGTTTTGATTTCTGACTTAAGGTACAAGCACTTTGGACAATTTGCTCCACTAGGTGGTGAACAAGCAGCTGCACAGTTACCAGGAGATTGGATCTCTATAGGTCATAGCTCGCAGTGGCTATGGTATTCTGTCTATGCAAGGTATTCATTTTTGCCATGTAAACAAATGTTCAAATTGACTACTCTTGTGCATTTTTGGCAATTTCTACACAGTTTCTACTGTGCCTTTCTGCTTATTCAACCGAATGAAGTGCTTAGCCTTTTTTCTATCAAAATAGGAGAAATTATTCCATGCGGAGTCCGGACAGTAAAGAACCGTGTACATAGTTTGATTTTTTTTATATACAAACATTGTGTACACTCACATCCAGACGATTCTTTACCATTTGGACTCCGCACAGAATAATTTCTCTCAAAATAGAGCCAAAATGTGAAAGCCTTGGTAAAGAATTAGGAAGTTGTTACTAAGATTTTGGGATTATATCTCATTTACATCAAATCTTTGCCTTGCGCTAAAAAAATGCTAAAAATACTGCCCTTTTGTATTAGTCAGCTCTACTTTGATCATCAGCTTTTATGCTTCTTTTTTTCATTACTTCTCCATCTTACCAGTCCATTGGTCTGTCTATTTCTATTGTTTCTTTCTACATTCAGTAAACAAGTGAGTTGGCGCACGAGGCTGCTGGTGATTTCAGACTGGACAAAGCGATTCATATTTGGAAGGGACTCTAGTTGCATGTAATCAGTAAACGCCTTGAGAAATCAATCTGAGATAGGAATTTCTATTATTCTGTTTCCAAAATCATGCTATTTTTCTCTATCCATTTCATACCTACCTGCATCATTTGTCGAGCAGCTTTGTCCATAGCTTCTATGAGCTGTTTCTAAATTTTTTTTTTTTAAACAGGACTGTTTTTGTCTATGTTGAACCTAATATAGAATAAAAGAGGAAATTGGATTTTCTGTAAATATTTTATTTTAGAGTCTATTTGAGACAATTTTCTGACTATTTTGCTTTTCAAAAATTCTGGGATAGAATTCTTTCTTTCAAAATCTAGAGTCTGCCCGAACCGGACTCGAAAAAATAGTTTTTTTTTTCTAGCGCCTTTGGTCTTGTTTCCGTTCCGCTCCTCTAATAAGGTAATTGAATCAAATTAGGTTAGCTCTTGCTAGCCTCCTAAGCCTAATTCATGAAAATGGAATGGTATTCGCTAACCTTGAGAATGTCGGCTTGAGTAATGCAAACTAGTCATTAATTTGTTCGAGCACTATTATTTTGTTGTCATCATAGTTTTTTAGACTTTTTTTTTAGTAAAAAGCTATTTTTTATTGTCATCATCGTAGTGAGGTTACTTTCTCTATAACAATTTCACAATCAGCTTTATAAAATGCTGCAACCATTTCAAAAATATCCTTAACCTTTAGATGGTCCAAGGCTGATTCTAAAGAACCCAAATTTACTGTATTAAACCCACAAAAATTTTACAAACTACTCCTGGTTTAAGATGTAAAACACTATCACTGCTACTCTGTTGGGTCTCAGTTTTAATAATAAACCAACAAAAATATTTTTGGCCAATTTATTGCTAGACATTAGGTCAAGTTCAAGTTCTCTTTATTTTCAAATAAATTACAAGTGTTAAGATGGAGTAGAGGCCCAACAGTGCAATTCACAATTTAAGGTTTGTTTGGAATAGTTTTCTTAATGCTTTATATAGCAATGTTTTAGTTAAAAAAAAAATTTGAATTAGAATTTTTTTATCTAAAAAGTCGTTCTAGAGAGCAAAATGAAACTTTTTCCAAACAAAGCCTTAGAAGGGTGCAAGAAATTAGAAGAGATAGTGCCCAGCTGGTGTTATTGGGAGGGCAAATTATTGCATCCGGTCACCGGACGCGCAAAATAGGTTCGGACCTCCAATAAAAATATGCCACGTCACTTGCGCTTTTCACTGCGCTTTAGGTGCGCTTTATCTATGCTTTTGACGCGCTTAATTTAAAATAATATTTTATTAATATCCGGACCTATCTCCGTGGCCGGTGATCGGATGCAATAATTTGCCTAGTGGGATATCTTATTCATAATTGATCCCTATTATAGTTGCACGCATCATGCTTTGAGAAACAATCACAAGTTCTCCAATAATGGCTTATATCGTTAGAATCATGTTGTAAAATTCATAATGTGAATGATTCACTGCTTGAAATCGTTATTTAATTGCATTGACAATTATTTTTCAAGGGTAATTGCTCAGCGCATATCAGCTGATAAATTAGAAGAAAAATAATTATTTAATATAAGAAAAAGAGACAATTTTTTAAATATTTTAATAAATTTCTTTTTAAAATCATGAATGTTAAGATAGTTTAAATGTATTTATAATTAATATATTATAACAGAGGTGGCTCATGAGCTAAAAAGTCGAGTTTGGGTCAGCTCAAGTTTGACTCATTAGTTTATTGAGCTCGACTAATGAGTTATTTGTCGAGTCAAGTCAGAGCTCGCTCATGAATTGGCTTGACTCACACCCCTGTGTTCAAAGCCAATTGAGAAAGTAGAGCAATTAAGAAGAGTCCAAAGAGTTCGGGGTAAAGAAATTTTCTTATTAGAGAAATTATGTAATAATATTTTGATATAAATTGTATCATGATAAATTTGAAAATTATTATTTTTTATTTGAGATTAGTGTATAATATATTAATTATAAAATAAATTTAATAATTTTAAATTCATTCTAATATAACTAATAGTAGAGATGATATTAGCCTTTCTTCAGAGAGTTATGAGCAACAATGTTGAATAAAGGATATACAATATTAAGTTTTTAACCTTTCAGCAAAATAAATGGTAGAATAAGAAGTCTAAGTGCTTCTCGCTAAGAAAGTCATTATTGATGTTCTCAATTTATCTTAGTCCTGCGCATCTTTTTGTTAAACTCTCAAAAATTCTTTTTTTGTACTGTAAGCTCTCCAAATCTCCTTTGAGATGATTTTATTACTATATTTTAATGTGACTCTTAACTTAAAAAAATTGAAAATAGAGAAAAATTAGTTACTGTTTTTAAAGCAGTTTTTTATACAATTTTTTTAATTATTGATACGTCCTCAAAAAATTATCTTGATCGGGCATGAGTTTCGATGCAAAATCAAGTTGGAAACTTCCAAAATTAAAATTGGAATCATCCGAACTCTGATTTCAGCAAACTTACACTTGAACTGAACGGCTCGGAAATACGAACCCAACGACACCAAATTTGACTCAATCCGAGCCCAAATGAGTCCAAATCAAGGACCGGAAGCGCTATTGGATGGTTCGAACCACAATTTGGATTACCAAACGGTTTCCAAACATGAAGTGCTTATAGTCAAATCGAGCGGCTGAATGAGACGAATCCAACGAGCCCAAGATTGCTGAATTCTGACATCATTAAGACGTTCCAATGTCTGACGAATGGTCAATGATCAAGGGATTCAACATCGGCCGTCCATCCAACCACTCCCCATTTACCCTTGATCTCTCACCTATTTACGGGTCATGCCACTCCAAAAATCTATAAATAGACCCCTCATTTCTCTTGAGGGGGAACCAAAAGCAAGAAGAGAAGGAAGAAGAGAAGGAAGAAGCTCCTCCTCAACCACCGACTGAGTTCGCCGGACCACCACTTGAGGCCCTCACCTCCGCCGGACCACCACCTGCCGTCATTGCTCCATCGAACCACCACTTAAGGCCCTCACATTCGGCAGACCACCACCTGACGTTGTTGCTCCGCTAGACCACCACTTAAGGCCCTCACCTCCATCGAACCATCACTAGACGTCGTTGCTCAGCCGGACCACCACTTGAGGCCCTCACCTCTGTCGGACCACCACTTGAAGCCCTCACCTCTGTCGGACCACCACCTAATGTCGTTGCTCCGCCAGACCACCACTTAAGGCCGCGGACTTCTGCCAGACCACCATCTGAGGCCCGGACTTTCGTCGGACCTCCACCTGACGTCGTTGCTTCGCCGGACCACCACCTAAGGTCCAGACTTCCACCAGACCATCGCCTGACGTCGTTGCTCCGCCGGAACACCACTTAAGGCCCCGGACTTCTACCGGACCATCACCTGAGGCCCAGACTTCCACCGGACCACCACCTGACATCGTTGCTCCGCCGAACCACCACCTGAGGCCTGGACTTCCACCAGACCATCACCTGACGTCGTTGCTTTGCTAGACCACCACTTATGGCCCCGAACTTCTGCCAGACCACCACCTGAGGCCCGGACTTCCACCGGACCATCGCCTGAAGTCGTTGCTTCGTCGGACCACCACTTAAGGCTCCAGACTTCTGTTGGACTACTACCTGAGGCCCAGACTTCCATCGGGTCACCGCCTGAAGCCCGAACTTCTGTCGGACCACCACCTGAGGCTCGGATTTCCACCGGACCACCATCTGACGCCTTGGCCGCTAGCAGCCTGGCACACGTCCCAGCGTGACTTGAGGCGTCGGGCAACGCGATCAGCCGGGCAGTCAACACGGGCACGGACCATTTCCAGGTCATTTTCGGGTTCCCGGGTCAACACGAACTTGACCCTATTTTTGAAATGGGTCAGTTTATTGAACCTGAACCCGACCAGTTTCACAAACGGGTTGACCCGAACCCAAATTTTCGGGGCCGGATTTCTAATCGTGTCAAAAATTGACACCCCTACATACAACATCCCCCGAACGACTAAAATCTACGATCTGCTTTGATTAAATTCACCTGCCGCGGCCCTCTACCCCCTTCTTAACCGACTGAACCAAGCACCTCTCCACAGCAGCCACAAAATCATTTGGCCCTTCCTCTTCTATTTCGTGAGTAACCCGACCAAACTTTCTAGACCAATTTCACACCTCAGCCGCCTTCTCACTCCGTTCCAACAGACCAGCTGAACTCCATTGCTATCATCCCTTCCTCGATAAACTTCTAAACAGCCTATTTACAAAACTCAACCCATATTCACTACCTCGCTTCTTAGTCATCTCTATTCCTTATTATTGTTATTATTAATTAATTTATATTATTATTATCTATAGAAAAAGGAGAACTTTTATTCATTTTTGTTGATATCATCGCCACAACACAAGTGTCGCTTGTCACGAAGGTATAAATGATTTCTCAAAACTCAAAACACAAATCCTATTTTCGGCACTCGCGATGGATCGGGGGACCACCTATGCATGTTTTTCTATAGTATAGTGGGAGGGAACCTGGTGCGACCCTTGCGGCGAGGCGAGTGAGCTTTGTACACGCTTTTCTTAGCGTGGAAATGTTAAAAATTAAGTACCCATATACATGCCTTGGTGTCTGTGGGGAAAAACTACGTTCTCAAACAGGTATCCTTGAAGTTTCATGCACGCCTCTCTCTGGCATGGTGGGATCGAAGATCACGGCCGTAGTGCCATCCGATATCGACCATGCACATTTTTTTTAGCATGGTGGGAAAGCTAAGACTCGTAGATTTTCCCCTAAACGGTGAGGTCAGGAGGCTGTGAAAATTCAAAATGACGACAAATGAAACTTAAGCAAATACAAGGGAATTGATCTAAACTACAAGAAACAGGACCTGAATAGAACTACAAGGAACAAGACTTAAATAAAATAGTAGGGAATTGGACCTAAGACTAATAAATGCACAACCATATTAAAAATATAATCACTAAGTGAACTTGTGATGAACATCTAAATGAACATCAATGTGCGAATAAGAACTTGTGATGAACATCAATGAAGTGGCAAAATACTCATGATGAACATTAATGAACAAATGAATGACTTGTGGTAA